CATAACAATGGTATCCATGCGTAAGGCTATGTGGCCCTTTTCAAAAGGGTACGCCACGGTGAGTATTAATGGCGTGGGGAGGGGCTACGAAATACGACGTTTCTGCACTCTTAGAGTGAGTCCACAACGATGTATTGTTGCAAAGAAGATAATATTCTCCAGGTTGGCTTCGTATACGGGTTTCGAAATTCCACGTCGGTCGGCTGTGATATTTTTCCATTGAAGTCGGCAATATGGCGTAGCCGAACAAACTTCAATTTATCTCACTACTGATCATCTATCATACTCAATATAAGGGTCCCGACTACATTTGTTCTATAAATATATCCTTCCTTCCGTTTGCTTGTAAGTTGGTGTTTATTTGACACACCGAAAATAATTGGTGTACATGTACATGTATTTCCGCATTAAATCACGGTCACGGTAAGTGGCCATGCTACACCGAGTGATCCGTGCCGTCCCGACGTTACCAGCTACGTCAAAATGACGACTGATCATTTTGTCAACTTGCATGTCCGATAAAGATATCTTTCTAAAATGTTGCTACAATTATTTTGTTTTTGTGCACGCACTGTTAAATTGTTTGATTATTAACAGGGATCGCGTACCCACGAAAGGAAGCTTTTTTGACCTAGCGATAATGTTATGTGTGGTGCTAATACGCTCTCTAATTTTCGTGACACGCACGATAACAAAATGATCACTTTCAAGATGAAGTATGACGTACCGAATTTCCTATTGTTTGATATAATTGTTTCATGAGTTTTCATACTTTTAAATTGAATAGTCTACTACAAATTTCCGATTCATATTTTGAGTTATTTTTATAGACAAAATATTTTTCTGGACGACAAAATACATGTGTGCAGAATGCGTGTGTGTGTTTTTGTCAAGGGTGTCTTTGATGTTGAATCAACAGGTGGCAATTGCAACCCGCCCGCTGGTGGCGCCCTATACTGGAATTCCAATACTGTACCACGATCGTACTTTCATAGTTTTGTTTTTCTATTTATGAGATTTCTCTTATTGGTGGGGTTCATCTCGGTGAATCGTCCATGTGACATTCCTGGGTGACATGCTTAAGACACAGTCACTAACTTAAACAGTTTGTTTTTTAACCAAATATTTCGAACTTAGTAATTGAAGGTAGAAAAACGTTGATATCATCTGTCTCACATAAACATCGGTAACAACACACAACACCGGCAGGTAATCAGCGGATAGCAGCGCTGTTACTGTCGTTGCGCTTTCCTCGTGTGTTTTTTTCAGATAGTCTTCGATGGTGGCACTGTTTCTGTTTCTCCTGTATGTGTCAGATCTCTTGGAATGTTTGCTTGGCGCCATAGTGCCCAGAACAATCGTTTCTCAGAAAGACTCTAATTAAAAATAACACGACAATAGTTTTATATTACTAAAGTAAATGTTAAAAATCACGGCCAATCAGAAGGAGTTAAAATCAAATAGCAAACATGAGTCGTAAAAATTTTGAAATGAAGCCGATTCAGGCAACACTGGTACTGGCAATAGTTTTAAAATATGGTCCCTCGGACTGCTCACACTGAATATATCAGTTTGTCACTTTAATATCAGTTGTTTTTCGCCAATATTCTATTCACACATCTTGCTAACCACTGCAATGCCCAGGTTGTGTTTTATCGGTAAAACACTAATTTTCAAGATTCGAGGGTTCCATCCTGACAATGGAATAACGGCCACGTCAAATACAGTATTTGTTCCCTCTTCCCTCTCTGAGCCGATCAGGATCACGATTCTGAAAAAAACAGTAATCATTGTATGAATGACTTGTTCAAAAAACCAGTGCCGTGTGGAAGGACAACTGAAACTGTGGTGCTGGTGTTTTTGTAGTTTGGAAGTATGATTTTTGATAATCACCATGACGTCATGTTCGGGGTAATATGTAGAACACATTTCCACAGCGGAGTTAATTATTATTTTATTTTTTAAAGCCACTCATTATTCGTTTCTGGAGCATTCTTTTAATTCTCTGGTATTCGAATCGAATTTAAATCACGCTACTGATCGATATTTTTTTTTTAAGAATTTTCCCTCGGTCATCCAATCGGTGACGCGTATGACATGAATTTTGTTTGAGACCTGGGGTGCGCCCTCTCTGACACGCCTTCAAGAATGTATGTTACATTCCGTCAACTACTTCCTCCTCACGTTGAAACTTTGTAGTCAACATAATTTATGGTTAGTTTCACTTAATTCGGTCCACCGCTAAACAGTTTTCATTTTGAGTATCGACGTAAGTGAGATATTGACCTGATGACCTCATATGTTAGTTTTATATCACAGATACAGACATCTCGTAATTTATGTGTGTGTATTTGCGTTGTCGTTGAAACAAAATAGGATTACGTACCAAGAAAGGCGTTCACTGTTCACTGTGGTTACGTTCCGGTCATCCAGATTTTTTTGAGAGAATTCTCTTCAAAGTCAATCCCATAGTTGATCGGATTTAGTACAAAAGGCAACTAATTAAAGCGCAATTGACAGTCGCCTTGCGTTCATTTCGTTTACTACATACCACGACAAAAAAAACATGTTCACTGTAAAATAAAACTCCAGTACGTGAAATGTATGTAGGAAGTATATGCTGATCGTATAGCTAATACATTGTATACGTCTTCACCATATTACTGTCTGTTGTGTGAATCTCTGCCAAGCCAATTTAATCTATGTTGCTAAAATATATTACCTGTGACGCTAGCAGTGTTATTCGTCTCACTGGTCCAATCAGATTGACTGGTGTCGAGTTATTTCCCAGTTTAAAAAAAACAAACCTTATATGTATAATGTACAACATCGCCGTTGATTTTCACAATAAGCTGTGAAAAGCCACCTTTTCTATAAACCGCGCCATCTAGTGACAAAGCGCTGCTATGACGTAACTGGATTGCACACACCGTTCAAATCGTCTATATCGTATTGATCTGTAGTCGTCCATCAATTGTGATTATGTTTTTGAGAGATTTCACTGTATTCTAGATGATGAATTACTACACAATCAAACATAGTTGTCGATTCAAACGACGTTGTTTCACCCATATACGTCATTTAGACGTCACAGGAGCATTCCGTCACTAGAGGGCGCGATTTTTAGAAATACATGTACATGTAGTGTATTTCATACATTATGAACAAGAAGAATTTTAAACTATATTCAGCAATCAAAGTAAATGATCCGATTATAATAATACTATATACTAACTCAGTAAAATAAAGTACCATTAACACTAATTCCAACAGTATCTATACGGGTAAGCCGCAGATTTACCTTTTTAATGACTTTGCCCTCATGCGTCGTACTGCAAGACTAGTTTATACAAACAAAATATGCCACAGCTTGAGATCAAATCATGTGGTGATTCGATGTG